GGAAAATGGGATACCTGTAGAACTCTCAACAATAAAGATAAATTAAAATAAAATAAAATAAAAACAACAAAAAAACTTTCTAGCTAAAAGCAGGTCACGGTGGGCAGTCATGTCCTAGGCTAGAATCTTCCTGGACTCCTTACCTTAACTGAGCCTGTCTATTGTCTTTTGCATCTACAATAACATACCACCTTTGGATGTCAAAGTAACTTCCCCTTTTCTGGACCCCTCCGGGCACAACAACCATGACTAAGCAGAAACCACAAATCCCCTAATTGTTATTGCTATCATGTTAATTGTTGACTGTTTACTATACTGCACCCACCTGTATGTGTACTGTGCTCCACTTCCACCCGAGCCTCTCTGGGCAGCTCTGTTCCCACAGCCTTGGGTCTTGCCAGAAGGGGTGGTGACCAAGGGGACAATCATGACTCATTAATTAGCAGCTGACATTTACAGCATATAGAGATGTTATTTGGGGAACAAGGTAACAATGTGAAGTTGGTTTTGTGGTCTTGTGCTCTGGTGGTGAGTGTACCCTGAGGGGTCTGGAAAAAGGGGTTTACTTTGAAATTCCAAGGGTATGTTGCAAAAAAGACAATAGACTTGAGGTAAGATTGATGTTTGTAGAAGCTACAGGCCTAGGATGTGACTACCTGCAATGACTCACTTTTTTAGTTAGGAATTTTTATGATCAGACCATCCGTTGTGGTTACTGTTGGTTTCTGTTTGCAGGGCCCACCATTCAGGCCTCCCCTGAGCTGGTCAGGTTTACTGTGGCTTCTTTTTCATCTTCATCAGTATGTGTGGTTGGCCAGTTTAATTTATCTTGTTTAATCAGAGTTACAAGCTTCTCATCTAATTCTTCCAAATATGCTGAATTGAGCAATGCAGCTGTTTGGGAACAGTCCTGAATGTTGTGTGAAAATTTTCTCACAGTGTTCATAGAAATCCAGTATGATTTCATCAGGTGTTTGCTTACACTGCTGAATTTTCATGCCCTCCATTTCCTGGGGAAAATGTCAGGGATGGCTTGGTAAAGCCAGTGGGCTAATTCACTGCATTTTTCCTGTCTGTTTCTCTTTGTCTTGAAAAACCCTCTATAGAAAATTTCCAGCAAACCTCACCCATTCTGCTGCTTTGCTCTCAGAAACCAATAGATGTATTAGTTGGAACAAGTCAGAATAGTTAGGATTGTATGTTCTGACAGTTGAATCAAATTCCTTTACAAATCCAACAGGGTCTTAAAGAAGATCAGGAAAATCTTTAGTTAGATTCCTTAATTCTGTTCTAGTCCAAGGAAACTACATTACTGTTGGTTCCCCTCCTCCTGAGACTGGCTTTACTCTAAAGGGAGTTGGCAGAATATCTGATTTTTCTACTATATTATGGTCCAGCTTTCTATTCTTGTTTCCCCTAGGTGAGTAGGGAAAGGAGAAAGAAGGGGGTGGGGTGTAGAGGTGAGAGGAAGAGGGGAGAGGAAGGACAAGTCCAGACAAGGGGAAGCAGAAGGTATAGGATCTAGTGGAGCAGTTGGAGAAATGGGGAAGTGTTGGGGGGTGTTGGCATTCCGCAGTTTTAGAAGCCTTCTATAGTTCAGAGACAGTTTCTAAATTTTTTATTAACTTCCTGGATAACGGAAAAACCTGTGCTTCTTCTAGAGGCTTCTGTTTCCCAATCAAGTTAAGTTTCCCATTCATTCAATATAATATTAGAGCCTGCTTTTGCCACACATTCCAAAATGCTGCAGGGACTGTGGAGTCAGCTGCAGGCCATTAAACAGCCCTCTTTCAGTGCCAGCGTCCCGGGCCGGGAAGGGTGGTCGCCCTGCTGCAAAAGCTGGCGTGGGCTGAGCCGCGGACCCTCCTCCCCCCGCCGGCTGTCGGGCAGTTTGGAAAGGGCCCTGTACTGGCTGTCCAATCAGAGTCT